ACAATTACCAACAATACATGTTTATAGTAAAATTATCAGCAATACCTATTTATAGTAAAACTTACCAATAGTACATATTTATAGTAAAATTACCAAACAATACAGTTTTAAGACAAAATGACCAGCAATAGTTGAAGGCGTACAATTGCGTTCAAAATATACAAAAATTGTGCTGAATATATTCACATTTCTGCCATTAAGAACCAGGAAAGGATGACTGAAATGTCTGAGATACATGATGAAAAAAGAGAGTCTGGAGAATCTAACACTCACAGAGGAAACATCGTGTTAATTAAAGATTTTGAATGAACAGATAGCGTAAGACGGATGTAGAGCGGGTGTAAAGAGACCCCAATGGATAAGCAGTATTTAAATAATCTGCAAATTGTTGAGAAGTTGAAGCAAACGAATTAATCCATTAATCTTTCAGGACATGAGGGATCATGGTTCTCCATAGCTTCCTGTTTTATTTATTTATTTTTTTTTTGCTTTCCATAACTTTTAAAATAGAAATCATTCTAATTAATATTAAATTTTACTATAAAATTGAAAATTAAAAATTACCAATTTTAAATTTTAAATTTAATCTGTATTAAATTTAAAATATTATAAAATTATTTAGAGAAGAAACTGAGGAAAAATACATATTTTGTTATTTTGTTTTAATTGAAAGGCCAAAAAACAGTTAGAAAAGAGTTCAAGGCTCACTAATATAGATAACGAACAATGAGACATTAAAAAGACATAAGGAAAAGTTATTCCATTTAAAAAATTTATTCCTTTTGTTTGACTGAAGAAGATCATCTGACTGGAAAGTCGTGTAGCAGAAATGTGAAAAACATGTAGCATGGCCCGGCGTTGCCCGTGCTTAATTAAAAAGTCGTACGACTCATACAACAATCGCTATCACTTAAAATATTTTTGCCCTTCCTTGCCTTTAAAGGAGTGCCCTTTGCCGTGCTGATGTTGCTACATGCCTTACTTCTTGCCTATCTCACACTGCGAATTTTTCTAAGCTCTATAGTAAACATTAAATCTGTTACGAAAAAAGAACTAAACAAAATGAACACAAAACGATCAGCTTTAAAAAAGGACTCATAACTGGAAAAACCGAATGAAAAAAAAATGTTAACAACAAATACTTTTTCACACCCAACCCAGTTCTGCGGAAACAGAATCAACGTGGAGTTTAAGCAAGTGAATGAGCCAATTGGAGTAAAGTGCCATGGAGATTTAAATTTTTCACACTTGTGACGAATGCAGCTATCGATTTTTTTGCATGCTAGCATGCTAGTTAACATTCGTGTCAGTCAGCTGTTGGCTCTCACGCTAGCCAATCGAATCATCCTGCCTATTCGTGGCAGCCAGCTATTGGCTCACACTCTGGCCAGTAGAAAATGGCCGCAAACTACATGAAAACTATCGATGGGAGTTGGGAAATGCAAAGTCGGTCTTGGCCTTTCCTCTCACTTGTTCATGTAAATTTTGGTGCAAATCCGTCGAAAATTGCGGCCGTGCATTCATTACACACACACACACACACACATCCTGCCTTTTATAGATAGAGATAAAATCTAATATATATATACTAAAACAAATCCATATTATAACCAAAAACCTTTTCGGTTTCTCTTTTTTTTATATATATATATATATATATATATATATAGACATTTTACGATTATACATTCTTTTTATAGATATAAATATTAAAGTAAATGCTCTGTTTTTTTGTTTCGTTTTTTTTTTATATATATAATAAACAGTATTTATAATATTTACCGAATGAATGTCCGAGAAATTTTCATAGAAAATATTCGTCCTCCGACAGGGATCGAACCTGCATCCTATACAGAACCGTCATTTAGCCTGACGTGCTCTTAACCGAACAAGCCACAGAGGATAGTTCGATTAGCAAGGTCGAATTTACTGCCTTTAAACTTCAATCTTCCATGAGTCTCTCACGTATTTTTATATCTGCCCAAAGCGTATCCAAATGTAAACAAATGACGTCACACATTATGAAATGGACAAAGCCCGACAATTATTTTAAGTCATTTGATGTTTATATATTCTTTTGATAAAGACAAATATTTAAGTAAATGCTTTTTTATTTTATTTTAATAATAAACAGTATTTATAACCTTCACCGGTCCGAATGTCCGAGAAATTTTCATAGAAAACATTCATCCTCCGACAGGGATTGAACCCGTATCCTATACGAAACCGTCATTTAGCCTGACGTGCTCTTAACCGATCGAGCCACAGAGGAAAGTTCGAGTAGCAAGGTCGAGTTTACTGCCTTTAATCTTCAATCTTCCTATGAAAATTTCTCAGACATTCAGCCCGCTAAATGTTATAAAGACATTGTATCTATAAAAAGAATGTAGAATTATAAAATGTCTTAAAATAATTGTCGGACTTTGTTCATGTCTTAATATATATATATATATATATATATATATATATATATATATATGTGTGTGTGTGTGTGTGTGTGTGTGTGTGTGTGTGTGTGTGTGTTCGCATATATGTGTATGTACAGAGTTTTCGGGCTAAATTTGACAGTGTTTACTATTTTTATTTTTCAAACTGGTTTGGATTATCTGTTAACGGCATTGTGAAACGTAGCCACTACAGTTTTAGACGTGTAAAATTTAACTGGCGTGCACAAGTGGAAATCACCTGAATATTGGAAAATGGCTAACATACGTCTGATTGATTCACCCCATGCATCAAAATGCCGCATTCAAATCTCTTAGAACACTAACCAATAAGTCTTGAAATGGAGAAATGCAACAGAGACTACAAGAACGTAGCTTGTAGGAAAATGCACAGAAGACATTCTGATTGCCTCCGTACACTAGAATTCATCCCAACAGCTGCAGGAGAAAGTGATGGAAGACCCAAGCAAGGAAATGCGAGCTCTGACGCGGGAAATGGGTGTTGTAGTTTTCATCCTTGCCTTGAATGAGTGTTGTAGTTTTTTTGTGTACATTATGTACTAGTGAGTTAGCCCAAATGACTTGACTCACTTTATAGTCTACCAATAGAAGGTTAACCAATCAGAAGACGTAGAACATTCAATCCGTCGTGTATAAAGGCGGCCATTTAGTTTACCCTACCCGAATGTCTAGTTCCAGCTTGTCAGGCGAAGAGAACCAGAAGGACGAACTATGCTCTGCTACTTTTACCAAAATATCCACTGCTAACCTGAATAACGCTTTCCTACTGTCTTCGAAATATTCACTGCTAACCTCTGGATTCTATACTCGAAGACGACCGTCATTATGAATGACAATGAGGACCTCCGCTATCAGTCGCACAAGACTTGTAAAGATGAACTTCTTTATGAAAGAGCCCGAAAAAATAATGTGACATCGGTAAAGAAACTCCTGAACAACATAAAAAAATCATGTTGAACAAGGAACAATCTGGCTCTTCTCTGGGGAAAAGAATTTTTGTCCAGCTGCACAACACTCAGAATAACAGATAGCTTGCCTACAATCTATATGTCGTTCTTTATATCCTGAAGACCACGTTTACAGAAAATATGACGGTGTTTGGGTGTATTACCATTGAGGGTGATGTCATGTCACTTCATATCTTTGAGCAGGATCTCAGGATCAATTCAGATGGCTATGTGGAGTTGCTGCACTACGTGGTCAAAGCTTGTTTGGAGAGGGTGGCTGTTGGAAGACCATATGTGTGGCAGCAAGATTCAACTAACTGCCAGACCTCCAGGAACACTCAGAAGTGGTTACCAGATGATTTTACGACTTCACCAGCTCCAACATCCGCACCCCCCACTAACTCCCCTTCCCATGTGTTGGGCGCGATGGAGAAAGACACCAACCTCACTTGCCTGTAACACCAAGGCCGTTGATCGACAAGATTTTGCAGGCGTTTGAGGTGAAGGTCGCATGTACCAGATCCCGGAGTCGGATCGAGGCTATGGTAGATGCTGAAGGGGTGGGGAGAGGTTTATTTGAGTGAATTGTGTTTTGATTATTGTAACCTGTATTTTCTCAAATTTTCTGTTGGTATTCTATTTTTCCAAGATTTTAGGATGAAATATTCACTTTATTCACCTTTTAAAGAACCTGTCAAAATTAGCCCGAAAACATCATCTATATATATATATATATATATATATATGAAGAATTATTGTCTTGAGATGTGCTATATTTATGAGATAAAGTGCCCAATATCAGAGATAGAGCGTGTGTAAATATAAAAGTGAACATTGAAATCAACACTTAGAGGCGACAGTCTATTTCATGTTAGACGCAAACGTCTTTTCCTGTCCTTTTTAGTCACAGGGTGCCCGACAACCCCCCGCCCAAAAAAACAGGTAATTTTAGATTTACTATATGATGAAAAAAAAAATTAACAATCTATATTTCTGAGATGAGGTATTATGTACACTATTTACATTATTTGGACTATTATCCAGATCCTTGTCGCCATATTTATTACAACGTTTCGGCCTTTCAGTATCTGTCTATATTTCTGAGATGAGGTATTATGTACATTATTTACATTATTTGGACTATTGTCCTCATCATTTTCACCATATTTATTACAACTTTTCGGCCTTTAAGTATCTGTCTATATTTCTGAGATGAGGTATTATGTACATTATTTACATTATTTGGACTATTGTCCTCATCTTTGTAGCCATATTTATTACAACGTTCCGGCCGTTGTACGCTCCTTTGTATGTTTCTAGGCCTGACGATTGCGTCTAGCATGAAACAGACTGTCGCCTCTAAGTGTTGACTTCTATGTTCACTTTCATATATATATATATATATATATATATATATATATATATATAGAACATTTAACTTTAGAAATCAGAAGGCCAGTTGAATCTGCTACCTTGGTTTCAACATGACGGCCTTCTCAGGCGATTTTTATCAAATGACCTCAATGTTTTATCTAAAAAAATACTAATGAATTCGATATTATTTAAAAATACCAAACAAACGTATTACGCTGTGCGTCTTAGAAAGAGAGGGGGGATATGAAGAAGAAGAAGAAGAAGAAGAAGAAGAAGAAGAAGAAGAAGGAGGAGGAGGAGGAGGAGAAGGAGAAGTAGGGGAGAAGGCAGACTGAACAAAATCTGAGTGACTACTGACGAAAACAGCTATCGCTGGTTGAAATGTCTACAAGGCAGATGTTCGATATTTTGGAATAGGCTTATAGTAGTTGGTCCGCGGTGGGTTCCATATGGTATTAAACATGAGAGCTCAGCGAGATATTAATTTAGGAAGGCAGACATGGAGCCATAGTTCAAGAAGAAGGACGGCGCTTTCCATCAAATATGGTGGAGAAAACTAATGAACACCGGAATGAAATGACCCTCAACGATACTGGTTTGACAAAGATCACGGATTGTTCTCCTGACTTTAATTTGGCTGAAATTTTTCTTCACTGTAAGCTTGAATTGGTGAATGGCAATGACAGGATCCAAAGAGTGTGAGTTCAATACCAGGTTAAAGCAGTGCAGAACTTAGAGAGGGGAATTAACAGGAGATAACTGATAACTGACATCCATTAGACATGGCACGTGGAACTAGAACAGTCTACCCAAGCGAACGAAATAAATGGTTAAGTTTGACATTCCAACCGCCTAAAGAAGGCCGGAGCGTACAACGGCTGAAGCGTTGTAATAAATATGGCGACAATAGTACGACTAATTTAAATAGTGTACATAATACCTCATCTCAGAAATATAGACAGATACTGAAAGGCCGAAACGTTGTAATAAATATGGCGACAAATATGAGGACAATAATCCGAATAATGTAAATAGTGTACGTAATACCTCATCTCAGAAATATAGACAGATACTGAAAGGCCGAAACGTTGTAATAAATATGGAGACAAAGATAAGGACAATAGTCCGAACAATGTAAATAGTGTACATAATACCTCATCTCAGAAATATAGACAGATACTGAAAGGCCGAAACGTTGTAATAAATATGGTGACAAAGATGAGGACAATAGTCCGGATAATGTAAATAATGTACATAATACCTCATCTCAGAAATATAGACAGATAGTTAATTTTTCTTCATCATGTAATAAATCTAAAATTACCTGGTTTTTCATTTTATTTTATTTTTTGTCGGGCACCCTGTAGCTAAAAAGGACAGGAAATTATGGAGATCCATGATCGCTCACATCCTGAATTGATCATAATAAGATTAATATTTTTGACATCTTGTGCTGCGAGAGGTCTCAAGAATGTTTGGTGCCATGCCTGTTTTTGACTGTGAGAATATATAACACTAAGGACGTAAACACGCACTTAAAATCATCGTCTCTCTAGCGCTAAAAGAAATAAATTCCCGCTGATATTGGCATTAATAACTTCCACCTTAATTACTACGCAGCAACATGTACACATTTGTAGCGCATGTACACATTTGCTTTGTCATTTGCGAGTGTGTGACCGAGGGGAGATTTTATCCATCGACGCATGCGCGCAACAGAGTTCTTGGCCATTTACGCATGGCGCCGGTTGTCAAGTCTTCACTCCATCTCAGTTGGTGATACCCTAATCATGTGAGCCCGCCTTAATTAACCTGCGAAATGGAGCAGCTGACCCATGACCGCTGACGTCACGGGTAAAAGTTTCCTGCCGCCCATGCAAAAGAAGGCAAGTGCTTGTGATTATCAAGAAGAAAAGGGGAATAATCATAGCGATGCATACGTTGATATTTGATCAAATCCTTCTTCAGTTTATTTATTTTCTTGGTGAAGTGGGGGTATATACTTTTTGATTTCGCATTTTTCTTTGACTTATTTTGTTATGTTATTTTTAATATCGTTTATTTGTCAAGTTTTCTTCTTTTTCTTCTTCCCAGCGTTCATACTTTGCTTTCTTTCTTTTTCTTTATTTTTTTCTTCTTTTTCTTTTCTCCATTCCTACATATTAATCCCGAAAAAGAGCACTTCGATGTGGTGTAATGGTTAGCAATCTGGTCTCGCTAGATCAATTACGCCTGAATAGTGAGTTCGCTCCCCACTGGAAGCTTCATACATTTTGGACTTGTACCGCATCTTATCTACGTTTCGAAAATCACAAAACAGAATAGTGAGTTCGATCCTAACTTGGTGACCTATACTTCTGGCCTTGTGCCACATCTAAGCTACGTTTAGAAAATTATTTACGCCGCCTCAACGTGGTGTAATATTTACCAGGCCTGTTTCGCTAGATCAAATTACGACTGAATAATGACTTGGATACTCACCGGGTGCTCAATATTTTCGACCTTGTGCCATATGTAAACCTCGCTTAGAAAATAATTTAGGCCACTTCAAAGTGGTGTAATATTTAGCAGGTTTGTCTCGTTAGATCAAATTACGACTGAATAGTGACTTGGATCCTCACCGGGTGCTCAACATTTTCAGCCTTATGCCATATGTAACCTACGCTTAGAAAATCAATTGCGCCACTTCGACTTGGTGTAAAGGTTAGCAGGCTTGCTTCGCCAGATCTATTACGACTGAATAGTGACTTGAAATCTTCACCGGGTGCTCAATATTTTCGGCCTTGTGCCACATGTAAACTACGCTTAGAAAATATTTTAGGCCACTTCAACGTGGTGCACTGTTTAGCAGGTTTGTCTCGCTAGATCAAATTACGACTGAATAGTGACTTCGATCCTCACTGAGTGCCACATACTATCGGCCGTGTATCGCATCTAATGTACGCTTAGAAAATCGCCATATTAAGCTAGAAAAATGAGGTTTTTGTTTTGTATTTTGTTTTTTTTATTGAAAGGTTGGGCAAATGGTTTCTTATTTATTTCTCTCTATCGTTCATTCTACGGAGTGTAACAGCAATTAACAGTAATTGTCCAACTCGTGTTACAGCAAAACCGTCCATCCTACAAAATGTTTAATATCTCAAAAACTGCGAAACAAATTGAGTTTCTTTTTTCGAGGTTTTCAGATAACAAGTTTAGCCAACTTCACATCATTTTTCGTCAGAATTATCGATAAACACTTTGAGTTATCCAGATAAAAAGAGAACAGATTTATATCGTTTCGTGTAAGCTCCCCTGTATTCCCAACTGAACAATGGAGAGAGGCCTTCAGTAATGGTGCCAACGTTCATACTCTGGCTTCCATCTTCATAGTCCATTCAAGAACCATCAAGAGAACCGTGAATAAGTTTTAAAAAGAGGGAATAGTAAAGAGGAAAACTGAATCAAGAGGTCACAAAAGGAAGATGGATCCTCATTACAACTTTGAGCTAAAGAGTTCATTTACAAAAGATCCAACTCAATTCATAAGACGTTTGGCACGTGAAAGAGAAGTTTCAGCGATGACAGGTTAGAGATGGCGAAAACATCAGATCATATATATATATATATATATATATATATATATATATATATATATATATATATAAAAAAGAATAGTAAGATATAATCCGGTGATCTTATTGATATTTTTTATTTTTACAAAACAGTGCTCAATGTAAATTTGCAGAGCATAAATATTATAAATTAACTGATTTGGAATATGTTTTTCGCTACACAGTAATAACCATGTTTCAAAAACTGAAGCTAAAAACTTCAAATTTAATTATATAATTAAATTAAAAGCATTAGTTCTGTTTCATCTTCAAGCGAATATTGGAATAACTTATTTTTAAATTTACTTAGTTTTAAACGCACACGTAAATTCATAATTTTTTGTTTCCAAGGATACAGAGAAATCCAATCATTTAGACAGGGGAGGTAGCGTGCTCTGTTTTATTAACTATTGTTTTATCAATTATGAGTTAAGTTCGAAAAAGTGGTTAAGTCTGAGTAGGGTAGGGGTGCATTTTTCAATGAATTTTGACATCCGTTCAACGCATGTCGTCTGGTTTCATTATTAACGAGAACAATTTTTTCGGCATTTTTTTCCGTTGAATTTGTACTTGTATACGTGAACATTTTTTCTAAAAGAAGTGTTTGGGTTAGAATACGTTTTATTGAACTACAATTTTAATATATTATTTTTAATCTTAATTATTAATAGACTATATATCTTTTTAAAAAAAGTAAATGTAATAGAATTACTTAAATTATTTAAAACAAATTATTATTACACATCAAATATAAGTATGTATATTACCAGCATCTATTTTTTTAAAATTTTTAATTATTTTATTTTATTTTTAAGTATTATTTAAGGAAAAAATGTCGGCAAAGAATAACTATTTCATTTCTTGCTTCAGTAAATTTTTATTTTTTATAAACTTAGTAATATATAGTTTATCATGTATGCACAAAGGGCATGGGTCATTTAATGACCTACATATTCTATCTTTTTTTTAATTAATTTCCATTTTACTGTAGTTGATTTATATATATATATATATATATATATATATATATATATATATATATATATATATATGTCTCCTTTTTTCTCGTTCACTCTCTTTGTCTTTTTTCTTTTTCCATGCTCTAATCTATCCTTTTCTATTTTCTTTTCTTCATTTTCTTTCTTTTTAAACCTGCTATTTTATCTTGATTCTTCTTTTTGCTTTCTTTTCTTTTTCAGACTCTACCCCTCTCTCTCTCTCTCTCTCTCTCTCATCTATTTCAATTTATCTCCCTTTAATACCATTGTCTCCCTTTTACCTCTTTTTCTTTTCCTCCTCTTCTCTCTCCTTTTCCTTCCCCCTCTTTTCATGATTCTCTCTCTCTATATCTCTCTCGCAATACTCATTGCCCGTATTAACCTCTTTTCCGTCTTCCTCTAACGATCATTCCTTACTCTATCTCTCATTTTTCTCACTTTTTTCTGTTGTCTTAATTCTTTCTTTTCATCTTTTTCGCTTCCTTAGTTTTTTCTCCCGCTTTTCCTCCTTGCTCTCCCTTTTATCTTTTTCCCTTACTCTCCTTTATATATATATATATATATATATTAGTTTATTTTTACTTTCATAGAAACTTCTTATTTCTAATTCTTTCCGTTCTCTTAATCTCTATTTTACTGCACGTCTTTCTGAAATCTTTCACTCGCTCATTCTTCAATTTCTTAATCTCTACCCCTAAAAATCTTTCATCTCTGCACCGTCACCAAACTGCAAGATTTCTCTTTCCTTTCGGAGTTTTATTCTCTTTAATTGGCCAAATATTGCCCAAGATACCTGCCTTTGTCTTCGTAATTAATCTCAAGACGGTGTCATCAATTATAAAATCAAAACTTTTCGCGTATCCAAATTACCACTAGCTACATATGTGCCAGTCCACTGATTGCAATCGTTTTCCTCATCCCCAAAGCGGGTCTCATTTGTCCTTTATTAATTGGGGGAGCATTAATGGCGTCACTGCTACCTTCGCCGAACAAACTGGAACCAGAAAATTGCAGGTGCAGATCCACGGGTATGTGTGGCAACCGAGGTTCATTTCAAAGTGTATGGGGACACCTTAAATAGACTTGTCTATTCATTAAAAAATAGAGAGATTAAATATTTGTGAGGCAAATGATTTTTTTTTGTAGATTGGCATTTTCTCGACCTACCTGAGGCCGCGACACTTGTCAGCATCAAAAAAGATTCATTTTTATCCATTTAGAAAAGAGTGGATCAGGTTTATATTATACATACAATGTCAAATCTATTCCTAATTTTTACAGTTTAAACAGCAAACGAATACGCACCTGATAATCTGACTGGTGAATTATGTGAATTTTACCCATGACCAATGTGTTTTCATGCGTTTTGGCTATTATTTTGTAAGTCTATCTATCTATCTATCTATCTATCTATCTATCTATCTATCTATCTATCTATCTATCTATCTTGTCTGTCTCAGTCTTTTCCTATCTATCTATCTATCTATCTATCTATCTATCTATCTATATATATATATATATATATATATATATATATATATATATATATATATATATATATATATATATATCATATCATATCTATCTATCTATCTATCTATCTATCTATCTATCTATCTATCTATCTTGTCTGTCTCAGTCTTTTCCTATCTATCTATCTATCTATCTATATATATATATCTATATATCTATATATATATATATATATATATATATATATATATATATATATATATGTCAGTCTGGTCATATCTATCTATCTATCTATCTATCTATCTATCTATCTATCTATCTATCAAGTCTGTTCAGGTCTATCTCAGTCTTTTCCTATCTATCTATCTAGCTAGCTAGCTAGCTATCACATCTATCTATCTATCTATCTATCTATCTATCTATCTATCTGTCTGTTCAGGTTTATCTCAGTCTTTTCTATCTCTCTCTCTCTCTCTCTCTCTCTCTCTCTCTCTATATATATATATATATATATATATATATATATATATATATATATATCAGTCTGGTCATATCTATCTATCTATCTATGTATCTTTCAAGTCTGTTCAGGTTTAGCTATCACATCTATCTATCTATCTATCTATCTATCTATCTATCTATCTGTTCAGGTTTATCTCAGTCTTTTCCTATCTATCTATCTATCTATCTATCAAGTCTGTTCAGGTCTACCTCAGTCTTTTTCCTATCTATCTATCTAGCTATCTATCTATCTATCTATCTATCTGTCTGTCTTTTCAGGTTTATCTCAGTCTTTTCCTATCTATCTATCTATCTATCTATCTATCTATCTATCTATCTATCTATATATATATATATATATAT